GTACAATAAAGGCAGTCAAAACTAACAAAAGAGCAACAATATATAAGTGCAAATGACAAGTCTCGGTTAGCCTAACGCAGTACACGTAGCAAGGTGTATTTTTATATACAGTTAAATTAAGTATACTATTAAGTATTGCAAGCATTACATACAACAATAAAACAGTGCATTTACATAAAAAAGGAAATGTACTTTTGGTACTTAAGTACTTTTAAAAGCAAATACTTCTGTACTTTTACTTAAGTAAAAATCTGTCTTTATAACTTTTACTTGTAATGGAGTAATATTTGACCAGCAGTATCTGTACTTTCATTCAAGTAATGGAGTTGAGTACTTTGTCCGCCTCTGCAGCTCAACACAGGGGAGATGGAAGGGAAAGGGGTGAGCGTCTCGTATATATGGGGGCAATTACAGTGACTCTGGGGCGTTTACGGCTGATAAGGAACAGCACTGAGTGGGGGAGAGCTCTTTTTCGCCCATGACAACAGCTTTGTAAAGTGTGATGGATCCTGCTAATCCAGTGTCAGTCTTTACTGTTCTGGAAATTGAAAGGGGATGTTCTTATTAACCGGATACACAGATGTGTGACGCAACCATTTCTCAATTTAATGCTCCCTTCACTGTTTTCTTGAGGGAACCTTACAACATTGTGAAACTTCACTGTCTTGGCTGGTCGGGTGAATTCCTATGAAAATTACCCATCTCATGCCTTTTCGGGGGGTGCTTAATAAACTGACAAACTTTAAATCCGAAGAACTCGAAGAACTGATTACCCATATAGCTCCTGCTCCGTAGACTAGAAAACCCGTCAAAATAAGAGTAAAGGAGGTAAAGGAGATATTTAAACTTACAAAAAATATTAAAATATATACGAAAACAAATTAGATTAATCATAATAAAGTCTGTTACAATAAAGAAGTATTACTATGCATTTAATTTATACAGTGAAGTGTTATTTTACATTTGTTTACTTTATTTCTGTACCTGAAAACTGTTAAACCTACCTAAAAAAGCACTGTTTATTTAATATGTATCTTTGTTCTGTTGTATTTATGTAGGCCTGCTGAATGTTAAATGGATCCAATCCATGTTCATTAGAAATTATTTGATGATGCAGCAATAAAACTGCTAGAATAATTTAATGCAGGTGTTTTTGAACTTTGCTGATTTAAAACATGATCAAAATACTATATATTTTAA